ATATATATATATATATATATATATATATAATCGTAGTGTCACAGTGCCCAGTGTTATATGTGTTATTTACTGTGTGGTGATTGCAATATTTTGACCTATGTTCTAGGGGTTATTGAGAGCACTGGGGTCATTTGCAACAGTAAGTAAGTAAGTGTGTGCAGTATTCTAATACTTGGAAATTAGAGTACTTGCCGCGTGTGTTATTGCAGAGGGGTTGTTATTTGATGGTGATTGTTGCTAGTGTTGAGCATCACCGTATGTAATTGCAGTTCAGTAAAGCCATTGTGGGGCAGTGTTCTAGAGGGTTCATGTCCTGTATGTTATTTTACTAGGTTCTGCAGTATTGTCATAGCAACCGGACTGTAACGTAAATCACTGTGATTTGTCATTGTCGTGGGGGAACTCGGCTGTAGACGAGTACTTGGGTACACATATATTCTCCTGGTTATCTGGTAGGACATCGAAGTCCAGTATTCAGTGAGGTGATTGCGAGGCAATTAATATAACGTAACCAAGGGAACGCCCATTGCTTTAAGAGAATTTGTTCTTTGACAATTTGAGTAACGTAGAATATGTTTGGGTTAATTTACTTTCCTGCAAGCAGCTACGGTAGTTACAAGGAGCCTAGACATCAGCCAGATAAGAATTAGAGTATTATTTGTCGTAATTAATGGTCAGTGGGCCGGGTGATTGACGTGTTTCAGGAAGTCAAAGTAATTAATCTCGATCTTTGTTTGATCGACTCACACGAAGGCTCCATTGTTCTATTAACGTAACGTCGTTATTTATCTGCCTGGAAGTACTGGCACTTGATTGACTCGTTGTTACGGCCCTACTGGGACGCAACCGGGTTCTTCTCTGGTGTTAGTAGAGTCTGGGAATGCGGCCCCAAGTTAGTAGAGGCTTTCAAGGGGTGTGTTCCGTAACGCAAGGGAAATTTAAAGGGGGAGGGATACAAATGTTCTGATTTATATATATATTTTCATCACCAAGAATAAATAAATATCAGTCACACGCGGGGGTTATAACTACACTATTATGTACAGGGTTGTCTTCCTCCGAAGACATTGGATGCTCCACTCGCTCTGGGTAGCCCTGGTTCCTTCCTCCGTGACCCACGATGAATCCTCTATGATTCTATTGGCGAATCTACCCTGGCCACAGGCCAGCCAAATCACAGTCCCACTGGGTGCTCCGTCGTGGAGGCCTTCAACCACAATCCCGCCTGTAGCTGGCAGGTACCGATCAGCTCCGCTGTGTAGGCCACTCCACGACCGATACTAGGGTTGCGAGCCCTAGGCAGGAGCCTTGTGTGATCCCGCTGATCACTCTCCTCACTAAGCACCACAGTGGCTAGTCTCTTCCACCAGCCAGCCCCGGATAAGGCGATTCCCGACACTGCCACGTCACAGGCAGGCTAATACTCTCAACAGAGTTCGTCCTGGGGGGGTGACTCACAGCTTCTTCAGCAGACTTGTGAAGAGACCTTGGCTGCCTTGGGTAGACTGATCCATCGTCCAATACAGCAGTCCCAGGTCGACTCTGCAATCAGACACGTCATTAGTACTGGGGATACTACATGGGGTCACTAGGAAACATCACTTACTAGCTTAGACAGAAACGTCCACCTATTTGCTCCATAGATGGCGTTCACTGTCTAAGCGCCACCTCACCAGAGGTCAGCAGCGGCTATGTTATGAGCTGATTAAGACGGGAATCCCGCACCTGTGGCCGGTATATCCCGTCCTCAATAGATGGCGTTATCCATGTTGCGGGGTTTTCGGCTGGCGACTCACAGATGGTGATGACTCCAAGGCTGCGTGCTCCGGCGCTGGACTCGGGTCCGTAACACTCGTGGGAAGAGTAACGTCATTTTAGAATAACGTAAACGTGGTACTAATTACTGTTATTAGCCACCTGAATTGGTCTGAATATGGAAGGCTTAGACGGAATTCATACCTTAATGTAAATTGCTGAGCCAGTGTGAAAGGTTGCATATTTTAATTGTTTAATTATTGATCTTGAGGATAGTAATTAATTAATCTAAAGGTAATCACGAGTGATTACCGTTCTCTTAGCACTTTGGACATTGTAAATCAGAGGTTACCATCGCTGAGTGATTAGTAACCGATTAACGTAAATTAACGTAACTAGTAAAGAGATTAATCAGCTGTCTGGTAGTACAGGGATTAATGGGATTTTCTCACTGAATGCTCGACGGGTAGAGTGTTGTGTAATTTCCGCGTTACTAGTGACAGTTGTAAGAGTTATTAAATTAACGTAAATGTTATTGTGTTATTAACGTAAATCAATTGTTATTGATTGTTGATCGTCCATGGGACGGAGTGTTAACGGAGTGCCACAGCTCATAAAACGGAGGAAAGGGTCCTGAAAGATATTGTTAATAGAAACGTTATCCCTACAGATAAAAATCAGAGGATACAACTGACGATTTACTATAAAACCAGAAAAACGGCCAGCCTACTCATGAGAAACTCTCCAGACACAAAGCAGAACGCTTTAAAAGAGACCAACGTCGTCTATGCCTTCAAATGCCCTCTTGGGGACTGTAAGCTCCAAAAAACCCAGTATATAGGCAAGACAACAACATCTCTTTCTAGGCGTTAAACGATGCATAAGCAACAGGGCTCCATTAAGGAACATATAATCTCTTCCCACAACCAAACCATCGCCAGAGAAATCCTAGTAAACAACACAGAAATCATCGATAGACACAGCGATAGCAGGCGGCTTGACGTTTGCGAGGCACTACACATTAAAAAGTCAACACCAGCAATCAACAGCCAATTAATGCACAAATATATTCTACCCACCTCAAGACTCTGCTCCAATATAGAAGCATCAAGAAATATGGACCAATAGGCTTTCTACAATCACTTCCATTCAATACCCATTGTTTCGTGTTCTGTCTTGTGTTGATGAAATTAATACCCTATTAATGCCACCTCACCCCATCCACCTCACTCAAATGTAGATATAAACAAATCGGAGATGTGTAAGTTCTATTCAGTTGTGTATGTGTAAACTAAAGTCTTTGAAAATGTAATAAGTTTTACGAAACGCGCTCAAGTGTCGCGTCAGACTAGAAATAAAAATTAATTTTGGAGAATTGATTTTTGAATTACCACCAACAGTGAAAAGAAATGTATGAAAGATTGAGAAAATTCGTGTTAGAATTATTAATCTTACTTTTTTCGGTCATATTTAATAATATATGTCTACAGGAAAGACTGCTACCAAAATATACTAATATATATATATATATATATATATATATATATATATATATATATATATATATATATATATATATATATATATATATATATATATATATATATATATATATATATATATATATATATATATATATATATATATATATATATATATATATATATATATATATTAAAACATGACCGAAAAAGTAACATTAATAATTCTAACACGAATTTTCTCGATCTTTCTTACGTTTCTTTTCACTGTTAATCTTAATTCCAAGATCAATTCTCCAAAATTCATTTTTATTTCTAGTCTGACGCGACACTTGAGCGCGTTTCGTGAAACTTATTACATTTTCAAAGACTTTAGTTTACAAACACACAACTGAAACTGAATAGAGCTTACATGAATGCCCTCTTGGGGACTGTAAGCCTAAAAAAACAGTATATAGGCAAGACAACAACATCTCTTTCCAAGCGTTTAACGATGGATAAGCAACAGGGCTCCATTAAAGAACATATAATCTCTTCCCACAAACAAACCATCAGCAGAGAAATCTTAGCAAACAACACAGAAATCATCGATAGGTACAGCGATAGCAGGCGGCTTGACGTCTGGGAGGCACTACACATCAAGAAGTCAACACCAGCAATCAACAGCCAATTAATGCACAACTATATTCTACCCACTTCAAGACTCCGCTCCAATATAGAAGCATCAAGAAATATGGACCAATAGGCTTTCTACAATTACTTCCATTCAATACCCATTGTTTCGTGTTCTGTCTTGTGTTTGAATTTAATACCCATTCAATACCCATTGTTGAAAGTTTGTTTTCACCTCATCCACCTCACCTAAATGTAGATATAAAATCGAAGATGTGTAAGCTCTATTCAGTTTCAGTTGTGTGTTTGTAAACTAAAGTCTTTGAAAATGTAATAAGTTTTACGAAACGCGCTCAAGTGTCGCGTCAGACTAGAAATAAAAATGAATTTTGGAGAATTGATCTTTGAATTACCATCAACAGTGGAAAGAAACGTAAGAAAGAACGAGAAAATTCGTGTTAGAATTATTAATCTTACTTTTTCGGTAAGATTACTTTATATATATATATATATATATATATATATATATATATATATATATATATATATATATATATATATATATATATATATATATATATGTCGTACCTAGTAGCCAGAACGCACTTCTCAGCCTACTATGCAAGGCCCGATTTGCCTAATAAGCCAAGTTTTCCTGAATTAATATTTTTTCTCTATTTTTTTTCTTGTGAAATGATAAAGCTACCCATTTCATTATGTATGAGGTAAATTTTTTTTTTATTGGAGTTAAAATTAACGTAGATATATGACCGAACCTAATCAACCCTACCTAACCTAACCTAACCTATCTTTATAGGTTAGGTTACGTTAGGTAGCCGAAAAAGTTAGGTTAGGTTAGGTTAGGTAGGTTAGGTAGTCGAAAAACAATTAATTCATGAAAACTTGGCTTATTAGGCTACTACTAATACTAGGTACTGTATTAATACTAATATATATGTCGTACCTAATACTGGCTACTAGGTACGACATATATATATATATATATATATATATATATATATATATATATATATATATATATATATATATATATATATATATATATATATATATATATATATATATATATATATATATATATTTCTATTAAAACATTATAATCGCATTGCTCAATGTTTTGTTTCTTGGCAGGTGTTGAGGAGAGAGTTGAGGCCACCTGTCGCCTCCTGGACGACCTGAGGCAGCAGCAGGATGTTAACACAGCACACCACGCAGAGAGTCAGCAGCTTAAGGAGGCTAACGCTCGCCTGAAGACTGAGATCCTCCTGGCTGAGGAAGAAAGTAGGAAGTCTAAGGCCGACATGCGTCTCGCAGAGGAGGAAAATCGTGTTCTGAAGGCCGAGATTCGTCAAGTAGAGGAGGAGGCGAGGCTGGTCAAGAGAAGGAACCAGGAGCTAGAGCTCGCGGAGACCCACGCCCAAGAGCAGAAGACGATGGCAGCGAAGCTCGCTGAGCTAGAGAGTGAGAACCAGCTCCTGCAACACCTTAACAATAACACACAGGGACACATAGAACTTGTTGAAGACAAACTCTCTTTCTTGGAGAGTGAGAAGAGAGATGTTGAAGACAAACTCTCCATCTTGGAGAGTGAGAAGAGAGATGTTGAAGACAAACTCTCCATCTTGGAGAGTGAGAAGAGAGATGTTGAAAACAAACTTTCGCTCACCGAAGAAGAGGTCAGAATCTTGAAAACAGAAAAGGCAGTTTCAGATGAAGAAAACGAAGAGAGAATTAGGAGAACTGTGGAGGAGAAGACACTTGTTGAATACCAACTGGAAGAAAAGATCCTGAACCTACAAATGTTAAACCAGACTCTGGAAGAGAAAAATGAAATAATCAGGAAAGAAGTGGAGGAGAATAAGCATCTTGAAGAGCGTCTCTTCCACATGGAAGGGGAGGTCACCAGCTTGCGAGCAGCTCAACAACAAACCAAAGAAGGAATAAAGCAGCAAATATTGAATATTGAAGGTGAAAAGAATACAATAGTAGAGAGGAACCGCTTGATGGAAGAGGAACTCAATAACTGCAAGAAGAATGTTAGCGAACTTTACTTCAGGTAAACTCTACAGATGTTCCTTCACGTTGTCTCTCACGAGGGATTTAGTTGGGAGAGATAGGGATAGGAGGGACACAGAGAAGTAGAGCGAAAAGGGAGAAAGCAGGGAAATAAAGGGAGAAAGAAGACAAATGGAAAAAAGGAGATAGAGGATGAGATAGGAGGGAAATATTGGGAAGAGGAAAGTTGAGAGAGAGAGAGAGAGAGAGAGAGAGAGAGAGAGAGAGAGAGAGAGAGAGAGAGAGAGAGAGAGAGAGAGAGAGAGAGAGAGAGAGAGAGAGAGAGAGAGAGAGGAATGAAGTAGAATGAGGGAAGATGGAGAGAGAGAGATAGATTAAGGAGATGGAAGCAGAAGTGAAATACAGTGAAGGGAGATGGGAGGTAGAGGGTAAAGGAGGGAGTAGGGACATAGATGGAGAAGGAAGAAAGATATAAGAAGAAGATATATATTTGAGATATATATATATTGGAGATAGAGGAAGAGATGGAGGAAGATGAATTAACATTTAGAGGGGAGAAAGAAAGAGGCTAATGAAAGAAAGAGGGAAGTAGAAGATAGAGGGAGATGAAAGTTAGAGGGAGGTGGAAGAGACAGGGAAGTGGAACATAGAGGGAGGTGGAAGAGAGAGGGAGGTGGAAAATAGAGGGAAGTGCGAGAAGGAGGATGGAGACAATGTGTAGAGAGAGGCAGAGTGTAGAGGGAGGCAGAGTGTGGAGGGAGGCAGAGTGTGGAGGGAGGCAGAGTGTGGAGGGAGGCAAAGTGTGGAGGAGGCAAAGTGTGGAGGGAGGCAGAGTGTGGAGGGAGGCAGAGTGTGGAGGGGAGGCAGAGTGTGGAGGGAGGCAGAGTGTGGAGGGGAGGCAGAGTGTGGAGGAGGCAAAGTGTGGAGGGAGGCAGAGTGTGGAGGGGAGGCAGAGTGTGGAGGAGGCAAAGTGTGGAGATAGAGAGAAAACGGATGTTTGTGGAAGAGGGAGAGAGAGATATATAATGAGAGAATCAGACAAATGAAGACCGGACAGAGAACGGAGAGAGAAGACCGTGATCTTTTATAGCTGTTTTAATAAATTTATTGTAAATCAAAACAGATTATAGTGTTTTCAGGTGATAGTGAAGATTAATTATGGTTTTCTCAGTTGTGTTCAGGGAAGTGAAGCTTCTTAGTACAGTCTGTCACCTGAGCAGTAATACATTCACAGGTCAAGGCCAGCGAGGGACTGTGCGGAGCTGTACTGTGGCGGTGTGAGGCAGGATGGTGTCTATCTCATCAATCACGGCAGGTAACGTGGCCCAAGCTGCTTCATGTTATTTGGTTTATATGTATACAAGGGTTGTTATATTTTTGTACGGCTATTAGAGAGCATAGCGTTTCGGGCTAGTCCTTCATCCTATCTTCCCCGGAATACGACCCCGCCAAATCGTTTAACAACCAGGTACCCATTTTACTCTTGGGTAAACAGGGGCTACAGTTAAGGATTCACGCCTAATAAATCCTCCCCGGCCAGGATACAAACCCAAGACAAAGCGCTCGCGAAACGCCAGGCGAGTGTCTTAACAACTACACCATGACTGCAAAGCAAATCATTAACCCAGTACAGCCTCTCTCCCGTTCCTGCAGCATTTTATGTGATGGAATATGACAATCAGGTGACTGTTACATCCTATACACAACTGTTCTCACCAAATTAATTCGTGTGATCCGTGGGAGAGGACCTCTCTCAGCAGTGTGTAAACATTAGGCTGCCATACTCACTTTTCAACTTGCTCACTATACAGGACAGAAAATCAGCAAAAAACGAAATTATAGCAAAATCCTTATATTACGTGTATGTTAAGAGAAACATGCTCTTCCCTGTTGTGCTGTTATTGTTCTTAATAATGATACAACGAATTTTTTTTAATATATTCCAAATAACCTAAAACCAGAGAGTATGTTCCCAAGATATAAATAATAAGTAAATAAATAAATAAATATTTTTTTATTCGGGAAAAGCACATACATAGTTGATTTATAAACATAATGTTGGATTTATACCTAAAGTCACTACCACGCTTAGTGTTTCTGGCAACATATATAATATCAATAGAAGGTGTACCAGGTGAGATTCGAGTCTGTCTGTGTTCTTCCCCCCACCCCTCCTCCTCTCCCTCTACTATAAGATTATTAATAACCTAATAGAATCAAGTGAAAGAATGTATTTATAATTAATGACATGTACAAAGAATAAACCAGTTACCCTTTGGATATGAATCTGTAGTTGGGTGGTGGGATATCCAGTCGGAGAGGTTGAAGTTATGTGTTTTATCGTACTACGGTCAAAGTATGAATAACAGAAATTTTCCACAAATTTTTTCCAATATTAGTTAATAATATTGTATTTAGAGCAAAACGAAGTTTTAATTATGTTTAATTTTAAAATATTGTCAAAGAATTTATTATTTCTTTTTTGACTTCGAACCTGTAGGGTGGTTAATACGTGACCTATATTGGTAGGAGGCAGTTTTCCATCTTGCTAACATTACACTCACTCCTTACTAACATTCAACTACCATTTACTTTTGTACATGATAATTAAATGTTTATCTTGTGCAGTTTATACACAGTCACTTGGACTGGACGGTAGAGCGATGGTCTCGCTTCATGCAGGAAGGCGCTCAATCCCCGACCGCCCAAGTGGTTGGGCACTATTCCCTCGTCCCATCCCAAAATACTTATCCTCATCCATTCCAAGTGCTATATAGTATAATGGCTTGGCGCTCTTCCCTGTTAGTTCCCTTCCCTAGTGTAGTTTATTTACTGATTAAGCCGGTGTGTAGTATAGATGGTTATAGTGATGAAGCGAAGGACAAGGAAGGTAGTGTTTATGGTTGTAGATAGTGTACCCGGTAGTGCTCGGGTAGTGAAGATGGTTACTGTGATGATGGCAGTATGTAGTGAAAGTTACAGTGATGAAGATGGTTGTGTGTAATGGAGATGGTTACACTGATGAAGATGGTTACAGTGATGTAGACTGTGGGTAGTTAAGAAGGCTACAGAGAGGAAGATAGATAGATATTTAGAATAATATATAGATAGTAATGTGGCCTCGTCTCCCGAGCAGTGCCGGGTACTATCTCTCCAATCCAATATCAATAAAATATATGTGGAAACTTTCCACTGTTCATATATACACACATTTATCGTAAGCGTAGCCGGGGGGCGCCTGAGAGCCGGGCAGACAGCGCTTCGGATTCGTAGTCCTGAGGTTCCGGGTTCGATTCCCGGTGGAGACCGAGACAAATTGAAAAATGTTTCTTTCACCCCTGCTGCCCCTGTTACCTAGCAGTAAATAGGTACCTAGGAGTTAGACAGCTGCTACGGGTTGCTTCCTGGGAAAGGGGGGTGTAACAAAAAGAAGGCTTGGTCGAGGACTGGGCCGCGGGAACGCTAAGCCCCGAAATCATCTTAAGATAACCAAGATGCTACCTTATCTTTTGCTTACCTTTCGACGCTTCCGAGGCCCGTCACATGGAAACTACATATAATTATTATAATCAAGGATCATATGCAGCATGTTTAAATTACACCATATTGTTTCGTTCTTGACACAATACGATAGCTTTCGAATTTTGCTCGGCTGAATTATATGACATGAAATTCTGTTTTATTGAAATTATGAACAAACTGACGTCATAGCTGGACTCTCAACAACTGCTTTTTGTTAAATATATTATTGTTAATATAAATATATTGTTTATGTTAAATATTTTATATATTACTTAGAATTAGACTAAAAATCTGATAATTTTACCCACTACGGGCTCACCATAGCCCGTGCTACTTGGAACTTTTTCTTATAGGTAGCGAATATTTAACAACAAAAACATGATAATTTTTGAATTATTAAGCGCTTGCAAATGCAATCGGGTTCACAGGACCTTTGTCACACAACAGATGACAGACGTTGAACCTTTGTTACAAGACAGAGGACTTAACGGAGACATGATAACCACCTGCAAAATTCACAGGGGAACTGACAGGCTGGACAAAGACAAACTATTTAGCACGTGTGGAACACGAACAAGAGGACACAGGTCGAAACCTAGTACCAAAATGAGCCACAGTGACATTATACAGAATTTTTTCAGTATCAGAGTAGTTAACAAATGGAATGTATTAAGCAGTGATGTGGTGGAGGCAGATTCCATACACAGTTTCAAATATAGATATGATAGAGCTCAACAGGCTGTGGAATCTGTCCACCAGTTGATCAACTGTTGAGAGGCGGGACCAAAGAGCCAAAGCTCAACCCCCGCAAGCACCACTAGGTGAGTACACAGCATGCCAGCCATCACCTGAAGACTCTCAGCAGTTCCCAGGAACACCTCACCCAGCTGCACGCTCCCACTCGCTAACTTCCACCTACAGTCAACCAGCATGTTAAAAAGCTCTCCAGCTCAGTGTCCTGGGGAAAGATTCACGAAGCAGTTACGCAAGCACGTACGAACCTGGGGCAAGGTTCACGAAGCAGCTCACTTACGAACCTGGGGCCAGATTTACAAAGCAGTTACGCAAGCACTTACAAACATGGGGGTGGATTCACGAAGCAGTTATGCAAGTACATACGAACGTGTACAACTTTCCTCAACCTTTGACGGCTTTGGTTACATTTATTTATCAGTTTACAAGCATGAAAACTTCCTAATCAACTGCTGGTCTTGTTATAAACAGCCTCCTGGTGCTTCGGAACTCATTAACTGTTTAATAATTGCAAACAAAGCCGCCAAAGATTGAGGAAAGATATACAGGTTCGTAAGTGGTCACGTAACTGCTTCGTGAATCTGCCCCTGATTACGGCTGTCCACATGAAATAACTGACGAATAACATACTACTTTGTTACATGAAATCATACATCAAATAACATACTTCTTTCCTGTATATCTGACATTGAGTCTTTTTATCTTGAAGTGTCTATTATCTTGAAGTGTCTATTATCTTGAAGTGTCTATTATCTTGAAGTGTCTATTATCTTGAAGTGTCTATTATCTTGAAGTGTCTATTATCTTGAAGTGTCTATTAGAGGAAAATTCTGCGTTTGATAATTCTTCGACCAACATGTTGACTGTAGATATCCGCGACAGACTCGGTGCACCTGAACCACTGCCGTCCGCTGCAGTGTCATTTGAGTTAAATCCTGTCTTTTACATTGGGTCTTTGGAACCAACAAGTGAAATGTTAACATCATAACATATCTAATGACCTCATTAAGAAGCAAGAAAACACAAACAGTTGAGTGACATTTTTAGGAATAATTTCACGAGAGAGTCATAGGTAATGTAATTGGCAATATAAAACAACGAAACGGGGAATATGGTAATATTATGCTGTCACTTTTAATTAATTACCTGACGACAGCTTTGTGTAGCTTGTTACAGGTAAGTACGGACGTCGTCGTCCGTACAAATACATCAGTGGCCTCTTGCTCACAGACCAATCTTCAAGTTTACCCACACAAAATATGCCCCTTTCATTAAGGATATCTAATTTATTACCACAATGGCCACTTGTGAAATCTCACTTAAAATTAAACTAATTACCAGGGCAACAAATAAACTTATTAAATAAGACCGAGATTAGTATATTTTGAATGATGGACAGTCACTGAACTGCCGACGCCACTCTATATCACCGGAACATGTATACAACACTCACAATAATCTATTTACTTCGGTACTTTTTGGGTGACTTAGTGCCCATTTTTGCTCCAGGTAACTAGTGGGGTAAAACAGGTGAAGATATCTAGTGTGAAGTCTAGAAAATCAAAAAATTTCTTTACTTCTAAATAAAATCCAAGTAATAATAATAATAAGAAGAAATTGTCATCTATATTTCCATGGAACTAACATTCCTTTCACCTGGGCTCTAGGAGACTCGAACCGTGGACCTCTCGCGTAAGAGGTCGAAGCTTTATTGACCGAGCAATTGAGTAGTCATTAATAGTAGTCAGTAATATTCACTGAGAAAATCCATAGCATTTGTGATGCGGATTCGAACCTATGAGGTGGATGTTGCCACGCTCACGTCTCAGATAATCAGGCTAAGGCATGATCAAAAGGATTACAACCTGGAGTTCTACTGAACACACGTGGGTTTCCTGAGGTTTCCACTGAAGCCGGACCTGGGTTTCACACAATCCCTCCTATGCACTCTGGCTTCTGTCATCTAGGAATGTTCCTCCTCTGATCCTCCTCTTTCAATTGTCTGGGGCGTATGTCTGGGAATACCAAGTGCATAGGTTCGAGTCCTCATCATGGCGTCTACGGATTTTCTCATTGATAAATCAAGTTAGTGTGATGTCACTCTGTGTAATAGTAATAATTTTTATTTAAAAATATTTCAAAGAAAAACATAATTGAGTAAAAGCTTATTTGTCAAATAAAAGTGTATAATTTAATAAGATCGCTGGTATGCAAAGTGCTTCTGGTATATATATGAAGATAAATATGCAATATTACTAAATTACTAAAACAAATTTACATCAATGTAGCATTTAGAAACACTGATACCGTAAAAAACTCTGATTGAAAAATTCTCTAAATAGTTGTAATGGAAGTGTGTGTATAAAATTGCATTCAAAAATTGTAATAAGTTTTATGTTGGGCTAACATGCAAATGAAATGAAATTATTCCAAGCGATTTCGTGATTCAATACATTTCCAAAGAATACAGCAGAGAGACAAGACATGGGTGTGGGCTTATTTAACCCCCACTCCTAAGTAAATAGGTGTGGGGTTAAATATGCTAGACTGGCCAACAAGACAAAGTTAGAGAAGATTCAGCGGTATGCCACCAGGCTCGTCCCAGAACTGAGAGGAATGAGCTACCAGGAAAGGCTAAAGGAGCTCAACCTCATATCCCTGGAAAACAGAAGAGTAAGGGGAGACATGATAACCACCTACAAAATTATCAGGGGAAATGACAGGGTGGACAAAGACAAACTCTTCAGCGTGGGTGGGACATGAACAAGGAGACACAGGTGGAAACGTAATACCCAGATGAGTCACAGACACGCTAGAAAGAATTTTTTCAGTGTCAGAGTAGTTAACAAATGGAATGCACTAGGAAGTGATGTGGTGGAGTCTGACTCCATACACAGTTTCAAATGTAGATATGATAGAGCCTAATAGGCTCAGGAATCTGTACATCAATTCATTGACAGATGAGAGGCGGACCCTAGGAACCGGAGCTCAACCCCCGCAAGCACAATTAGGTGAGTACACGTGGTGGTGGGGGCTCCCAGCACCACTCACGTGGTGGTGGGGGCTCCCAGCACCACACACGTGGTAGTGGGGGCTCCCAGCACCACACACGTGGTAGTGGGGGTTCCCAGCACCACACACGTGGTAGTGGGGGTTCCCAGCACCACACACGTGGTAGTGGGGGTTCCCAGCACCACTCACGTGGTGGTGGGGGCTCCCAGCACCACACACGTGGTAGTGGGGGCTCCCAGCACCACACACGTGGTAGTGGGGGTTCCCAGCACCACTCACGTGGTGGTGGGGGCTCCCAGCACCACACGTGGTAGTGGGGGCTCCCAGCACCACACACGTGGTAGTGGGGGTTCCCAGCACCACTCACGTGGTGGTGGGGGCTCCCAGCACCACACACGTGGTAGTGGGGGCTCCCAGCACCACACACGTGGTAGTGGGGGCTCCCAGCACCACACACGTGGTAGTGGGGGCTCCCAGCACCACACACGTGGTGGTGGGGGCTCCCAGCACCACACTTATGGTACACTTATCCATCACTTACTGAAGTGTTTTGTGATGTTTCCAACAGAGAGGGACGGTTGGTGACTGCCTGGTGTGACATGACTTCCGCCGGAGGTGAGTTGTCTTTAAGTGTGGGAAACTTTCAAGTGAATGTGGATTGCCTTCAAGTGTATCATGACCTCGAATGAAGGTGAGTTGTCTTCTAAAGTGACATGACTTTCCCAGGAGAAGAATTAGCCTGTTGGGTGACATAACAATTGCTATGATAAGTAAGGAGGCATTTAGAGCGCTCTACACTGCCTACGTGAGACCAGTCTTTGAGTATGTCGCCCCATCATGGAGCTCCCTGCTAAGGAAACACAAAAGGAAACTGGGAAAAGGTTCAGAAGTTTGCGATGGGGCTCGACCCTGAATTGGGTGGGTTGGGAAATGAAGAGGGACTGAAAGAACTAAACCTGACGACCTTAGAAAAAAGGATAGAGGGGGAGACATGATAGTGATATAAAAAATACTTAGAGATTAACAGAGTAGAAATAGATGAAATGTTTATACCGAATAGCAATGGAACAAAGGGGCATGACTGGAGGTTGAAACTCAGAAGAGTCATAGAGATGTTAAGAAGTTTTCTTTTAGCGTGAGTAGTGGGGAAATGGAATGAACTAAAGGAGCAGGTTGTAGAAGCAATCTCTACGCATAATTTTAAAAGTAGATATGATAGTGAAATAGGACAGGAGTAATTGCTTTAAACTAGATGGCTAGTAATGCGGGATCCGAGAGCCAATGCTCGATCCTGAAGGTACAAATAAATGAGTAGGCGAGAACACACAAACAATCAGACGTGATTATTTGTAAATGTTCTGATTTTCAGGACGATCACGTGTCTTGCTTCTCTGATGTCCCTCGAGGTCATTTGTTCCTCGACCAAGTCATGAGTGAGTCTGATTGCTTGTTTTATGAGCTTTTGTTCTCGTTTTGGCATTCTCAGAGATATTTATTGCCTTTTGAATATCCTGCGACACTGATGGTTGTACACAGTGATAGGGCCCAGTAGGCTCAGGAATCTGTATTCCAGTTGATTGACAGTGGAGAGGCGGGACCAAAGAAACAAAGCTCAACCCCCGCAAGCACAATTAGGTGAGTACAATTAGGTGAGTACAGTCTCCCCGGCCTGGTGCCTTCATTTGATAATTACTTACTTGTTCCATAGACCAACCATCCTATTTCCAAATTAGTATATTCTCAGTCTTTCTTGAATCTAAACTTACTCAATTAATTTCCACGTGTTTTTGTTCTATTTTGTTCTTATATATTTAAAACGTATAAAGAACATATAAATATATTTAGAACTAATAAAGTTATTAACATCTCCTTTGCTATACCCTTTTATCAACTTATATATTTCAATCATGTCACTCATAACTATTCGCATTTCTAGATAATGCAAATTAGGAATTTTTTTAATCTTAGTTCATGAAAGGTCTCTAATTCTTAGGATTTACTTTGCCATCCTTTTTTGAACTCGTTCCAGAGAGTCTATGTTCATTCTAGTTTGGCGATCAGAATTGAACAGTATTATCTAAAGGAAGCCTAACAAGAGTATTATATAGATGAAGAATAACATCAGTTGTTTGATTTTTTAGCGCATATGGAAAACAAATCCAGTATCCTAGTTGCCATATTGAGATTTTTCTCTCATTCCGATTGCAATTTGAACACCTTTAAGCGCCTGGTAACTACTATCATATCTTAATGTTCTGGGAGGAAAGTCCTCCCGGACAGAGCCATCCTGGCTTATCATTTCTGCAAATGGTTGAGGAACTTCCAGGCAGGGGCCCCAAAATAATCACAGTGAGATAAAAAAAAGAACCAGTCACTCTTAAGAACCACCCAGAGTCGTTCCAACTAGCAGAGAAGAGGAGCTTAACGTCAATAAGATGGAAACTCGGTCTCAGAAACCACCTGTTTTCACGTGATCACACCCATAAACTGGGCAAACTGTACCCTTCTCTTCTGAACTCGGGTGTCTTCTTTCAAAGTTCCCATAGTTTCTCTTCATTGTCCGGTCATCAGGTCGGAGATATTTTAATTATTTTTTTCTCTCAGTAAGAGCCCTCATAGGAACAAGTGCAAACAAAGTTGTTTAACAGACAAACATTTATTACACGCATTAACATATAATATAATGACAAGATGGTCCCTTGACGGGGTTCCTCCTGGTCACCACAAGTCCAGATGAACCCCATAAACCGTCCTTCTCTTGTTCAGATGTGAGACAGTGCGCGTTCACTCCTTGACCCCGCACTGACAAGTGACGTCAGAAACCTTATGCACACGTCACGCTGCCAGCAATGACGTCATCTTTGCACCCGGCACGCCACTAGCGATGACGTCATTTTTGCACACGACACTACTAGCGGTGACGTCATCCCCTTCCCTTGGGAAAATCCACATAAGATCAACATCTCATCCAGATTAAATAAAGTTGCTCAACATTGCCTTAATGTCTCTTCGGTAATATCCAATGGTGGTTCTTAGTAGGCCCATTTGAGAAATAACTCTCAGAATAACTAGCATTGGTTGAATCATGAGACTATATATGGGCATAACAACACTAACCTCTAAACCCCATATTTGCTTAATCATTAAACTACATTTTTCCATCATTCGTTCATTTCAAAGGTCTATTGAGATAGACATGAAACAATTGTGAGTCTTGTGATGTTTTTGACACGCCATTTTTGTACTGTCCTCAAATGTGTGTGTATATATATATATATATATATATATATATATATATATATATATATATATATATATATATATATATATATATATATATATATATATATATATATATATATATATATGGAGTACCACCTCTAGCTGGAAGAAGGGGGTCCCATAGCCTCGGAGGAAACCACGCATAACGCATTAGAGGGAATGTTTAGATCGCCTCCAATACAGTTTCTGTGTGCTTTTCTCCTACCACCCCCCTTCCTTTTTTATTTTTGTGCTTTATTATGCATTTGATGGTTACAAGATATACATGGGTTGATACAAAAATAATAATGCAAAAAGGTGCTTAAAGGTTATGGATCTCTTGAAAAACACAACAATGGGAAACATTGATGAATGTCACAGACGGGTTCGATCATTGTTGCAAGTCAAACACTTCTTCGAATTCCTCTGAAGTTGGACTAGTGCCCAAGACGCAACAGGCATTTCCCCTCTGAATCGCAACACTGAGGCGCTGGAACAAGAAACTTTTTGCTCTCTGGTCTTTTGTAGCGCTGATCAATTTGTCCCCCAATTCCTTCAGGAACTTCAATGCACATTTTCCCCACGAACCGAGGGTCTCCGAGCCGATCGGAACAAAGCTGTAGCAGTGTGCTAGACCTCTGTATTTAATAATTTTCTGCGATTCCCTGAAAGAAGCAGCACCACCGCTTTCACGTGTGCTGTAGTGGAGGTAGGTACTGGCCAGTGTGGCAGCGCACGTGTAGTCCCATACCACTTGCTTACCATCCTTCCAAGGTAGCAAGGTGACCCCATCAGGGCGCTTCTGAGGGTCGTTAGGTCTGGATAAGTGTGGTTCTCTTTGTGCCGGGCAGTGGGCTGTGGCGAGGCTCCTCTTGATGATGTCGTTGACTTCTTCATGTCTTGCGATTTTACCTTGTGATTTACGACATACCAGACCATGACGACCATATTGGTCTGCCATCGCAGTTCCGCAGATGCACCTATGTTCGGTGAGGATCGGGGCGGCAAGGCGAAGGGCAACTCCAATGCGGAGAGCGTCATGACCGAGGCGAGTTCCCAGGGCTGCATTGGGCACAGCAAATAAAAAATCCCCGGCGTGGGGTGCTGTTACCGCTAGGAGGCGGGCTTTGTTTTCAGCATCAGCGTTGTCAATCATTGCTGTGACAGTCTTTTCCATTATGGGGCTATCCCAGTGGGCCTGCTTGTGGTCTTTTGGGACTTGTGGTCGGGGTTGAGGGTGTGCAATGGTGTCCCATTGTCTGGCTGCTTCGATGAACGTTTGATCATGAGTTCCCGCTGTCTCTCTCATACGCTCTGGTAGGATCTGCCCTACCAATTCGTTGGCTGCTGTACATGAGGATAAGAATGCTGGAAGTGCTACCTCAGTTGCCTTTCGTATGCCTATCCCTCCAAATCTCACTGGTAGTGTTGCTTGGTCCCACTGACTGTCATCTAAATCTAGGTTGAGCGCCTTCCTGAATATTGACCTGAGGAGCTCATCATATTGATTTAGAAGTGGGTTGCCAAAAGTTGGTGCACACCTTAAGAAGTATGTTAGCCTGGGCAAGGTAAGGCACTTTGTGAGAAGGTAGAGGGCATCGTGGGAGTCCAAGTCCCCAATTCTCTCTTCCATCCTCTTTAGGTCTCTAAACTTTTCGTCAAGGACTGCAGCAATGTCATTGTGGCCCAGAGGTGTTCCGAGTAGTGTGCTGTCGGTAGGTTTAACGACTGAGGCTTCTAGTAAAACTGATTTCATTGCTCTAATGATTACTTCACTAGATGCAATAATTTCGCACTTGGAGGGGTTAAGAACGAGACCCATGGACTCCCCCCGTGTCTTCACCAGCTGTAGGTCTTCTAGCAGGGAATCTTATGTGCCTGCCAGAGTGCCATCATCCAGGAACCAGATGTTGAGCTCACTGGACAGTCTGGTTGTAATTTCTCGAACCGCTATGCAAAAGAGGAACGGTGCAAGTGGGTCTCCCTGTTGAATTCCCTCTGCTGAGGTAACTTCATGTTTGCCAAACAGGAGGGTTGAGTGTTTGCTGTAGCCTGCTGACACAAACGGGAGAATGCTTGGGCAATGTTCCTGGACTGCAGTGAGGATTGCTTCCCTTTTGACCGAGTTGAAAGCGTTTTTAAATTCTAATTTTACTACTGCCTGGTCTTCATTAAGAGAGCTAATGTAGGCTCGTGCAGCATGAGCCGCTGCTTCACAGCCTTGGGGGACTCCAAACCCCAGCTGGTTGGGTTGCAGCATGGTGGCTGCTTCCGTTCGGATACTTCTGACAGCAGCCCTTGCAACTAGGCGGCGAAGGGTATTACCAACGGCAATGGGTCTGATCCCTCCCCCC